ACTACTGAGCATGAAAGTGCTAGAGAATGTGTGGATGTCAAAGAGCATGACAGTACAAATCGTGTGACAGAATGTATTAGTACTAATCAAGCAAGTGCAACTGACTACGCTTGATACATTGCAACTGACCACGCTTGATACATTGATTAGTGAGTCCTGTGTGACTGGCAAATGCCAATTTACCACAAGCACATGTCACAGTGATGTCACTTAAGTGATGAGTTGCAAACGTGTCTGATTCCAGCACATACAATAACAAGTATTGGTACATCACCACCAGAAACAGTTACTGCAGCATTATCGCAGCGGCAGCGACACCGGGGGAGACGGGGGTCCTTCCTCGAAAAAAATCAAGCTAAAACCCTTTTGTATTTTTCACTTAAACCCAACGTTATATATGTCAGCTAAATTTGCCCCTAAAATGCAAGAAATAACGTTTCAGAGGGTCTAGATTTCAAAAGTTTTGGATCGTGAGCAGATCTTGCCCCTCATGCAAAATTTCGTGCCGCAGCCTCGGAACCCAGAATGTCGCAAGTGAAAAGAGGCAGAAAGGTGAAGAAATTCGCAAAGTTTACCCACGAAACATTGGGCTCCCTACACAGTTTTATGGAAGTCGAATTATGAAACCAAGTCGTTTTCATCGAGATCATCAGGTCGCCCAGGAATCACTTTATCAGATTTACCCACAACTGTATTACCTAACATGGAATGAGGCTTGGAGAAGTGTTATGCAGATGACGTTTAGATGTGTATGTGATGATGTTTGAAACTATGATACTGTGTGTCAGCAGTGATATCGTTAACAATGTCATTTGTATTTAGATTTACTCTGGTTTGCTGAGGATAGCATTTTATTTCGAGTACATAAATGCTGACTGGTGTGGTTTCTTTTGTTTTTCCATGCAACACAGTGCAGAGCATCCCCTCTTAAAGATGTGATAGGATGTTTGTTTTGTTCATCCGTGTGTTACCGTGTGATGAATGTGTCGGGCGGATGGACGGCATTGGAGTATCCTTGATTCAGATTTGCATCCTACCATGTATGACCAAATGAGGATTTTTTTAGAACTTCTGTAGTCTGCGATTTTATTAGAATAACTATGACAAGATGATGCCATTTATATATAGGTCGGTGGACGGCTTATAAGTGATGTCACTTTTGTTTTTTAGAGGGAACGTGTTACACTTGACATTTGTCAAAGGTAACAAGTTTTGATAATTAGCACTGTTTTCGTGATTGCGTCGAGATAGGGTCATTTGTTTCTAATTTACTGATGCAATTGTGCAAGGAGGTCATGCATTGAGATACCAACATCGCCGGGGATGTAAATCGTCATGTTATGGAACCAACGATCGAGCGAAACTATAATAAACAATATAATGTTTGGAATCAGAGTCACCCCGGTACACCGATAATTATTACAGCTCTTATTTATAGTGATGATATTAGTTTACTTGTTGAATGGCAACAATCGCCCGTAGGGAAAACTATTACAATAGCCGCGGTTTTTATGTCATATTATTATATAATGACGTAGCCAGTACGTGATAGCATCGTCTGTGTAAATCCGTTGCAGGATTTGACTTGTAGACACTCGAGCAAAAATGGTGTTAAGCTAATTGAGTGAAACGAGAAATCTGAGAGCAAGACGAGACGAAATGCCTGGGAGAAGATAGACTTGTACGCTGTACAGGACAAGGTTGCTACATGAAGACCGGGATCAGAGGTAATTCTTGTCAGCTTGTTCATAGGCGCCAGTGAGGAGATAAAGGTCATTCACCCCCGTATGAGAGGGATACGTGTGAGTTTGAACACAGGGGCTTGACGATCTATTCGTCTCAATGCGTGGACGTCTATGGGGCCGTGCGACTATGTCCCGGTACAGGACCTTGCCCTTGCTCAAAATAATAGAAATTATGGAATTAAAAGAGTTTAGTAATGTAAAGCAAGCATATGTTATTAAATTTAATCATCACGCCCCGAAACCACAAAAATCACTAATACTTGTTTCCATCAGCTTGCACTATATATAAGACAAGGGAGGAAAATCATACCTCAAAATACAAAATACCTTGTCCAAACCAGTTACGAGTGCTTATAAGACATTGAACTATCGCAAAATGTTGTCCGATTACATATAAATCATATATTTTTCCAGATTTTACGCATTTATGACGAAATTTGACAATTTCTATTCTCTGTGATACTAGCCTTCAAGTTGTGTCAATCTGCGCATGCGTTCGCGCCCTCAAACGCCAGGGCTGCATTTCCTTTCTTTGCTGCCAGAGTTTGAAATTCTCAACTATGCATAATCAAACGCGCTCTCGACTATGCATAATCATTCGAGATAAATCTGAAGCATTCTGTTTGATATTTCAATTAAATCGAGAAAGACGGGTAAGACAATATAGAATTGTGTAGAAATGAGTATGCATAGTTGAACATTTGTAATATGTTTGTAATTTGTATACAGGATTTCGTAAAACGAATAACTATCATACAAAGACGTAGTAATCATGATTTACGCAGAACCTCTCAAATAACTGTCACTTAATGGAAAACTATTAAATCCTGATTACCGCCCACCACGTCACGTGACAAATAAATTGTAGTATATATAATAAATATTTTCAAAAGTCGTTTCCTACATGTGTACTTATTACGATTTTTTGAAAGCCTGACATACTAATTTCTTAATGCTTAAAATTGTCTAGTTTTAATAACGTGTTTCTTAATAATAAACTGTCGTTACTAATGTGAACTTTTTTTATTTATTGTTCTACCCACACGAAGCACAAGAAACATCATTTGGGACAACTTAAACAAAACAGACCTTGTTTACACATTTACATCAATATTCCACTACCTTGTTTTATCAATTATGCGTTATGTCAGGATATGTAGTAGACTGAAATAATCATCTCGATTACAAATGATTATAATATCTGTCATGAAAGGATGACATTCAACTATTTTGTGCCTAATGGTAATGTCGGTGAAGTAATTGTTAATTCTTAATTTATGTTATTGACTAATGGCTGGCAACTTTTTCGATAATAGCCTGAAATTGCCAAAAACTGTTCACTATACTGTGGAAAGATGGCCGTACATCTGCGGATAATATTGCGGTATTTGTTATGCAAGAGTTGGTTCGTTCATTTTGCAAATGTAATTGTGTTCCAAATTGCACCAAGTGAACATATCTTATCTCAATATCTTCACTAAATCCACGCAATCCGGAAATTTGCTCCATTTTTTACAAATATATACCATGGCATGCACACGGCAGTATGCATCAAGTCAAATATTATTGCTGCTAATTGAATGTATACTGTTGTATTTCCATGGCAACCACAAATAATGAATCATTATAATTAGTTACCACATCGTTATAAGTATGTTCATGCGATACTTACACACACTGATGTAATCAACCAAATAAATCAGTGTATTTGAAATGATGGCATTTGTTCTATTCCGTTCCCATATTTGTATTTAATTGGAAACTTGGCCACAGACTAGATACATGTAAGGCTGAGTTGTGTTTGTACACTACATCCAGCAACGTATTGATAAAGCCTGTAAGTATAGTGGATGAACTAACAGTGAATTTCATCGTGATATTTGGTTATAGAACAATAAAAACATTAACACGTATATATTGCATTCGCCTAATTTATTTGTACCTTGTTATACATATATAATTTTCGAAAGATACATATCACGTTAATGCCATGCACTCAATTATCTCTAAATAAAATAAATGGTTTGATTAGCTGGCAATAATAAATAAGCCTAGTCATAATCGGTTATAGGAATGTTGTTACTAAAGCACATACACTTTTTGCTGTTGTTTCCAGTGAAATCTAAACAGGAATGCAGTAGCTATAGCTTCTCATACTTCTGTGAAACAAAATATGTATACAAAAACATTTCTATAATCTATTTACAAAATGCCAACTAAATAAAGCTAAATGTGGTTCCAATAAACCCACCCTACCATTTTCAAGAGCTAGATCGTAAACGTTTTCGTTACACGTCACGTGAGACTTGGGCTTTTACTTCTTTTTTTGTGTAAAGATGTGATCATTTAAATTGATTTGAATAAGGACCTTTGAACGAATGATGCAATTATATATTTTCGACGTGAACTGTCAACAAAAGGGGAGACGTGTTTCATATGATTGCCTTATAACGGGGTAAGCACATAAAAATGTGCATTAATTGGGAAAAACAACTGACCTACAGATGCTACCTTATGAATGATATATTTTCAAAATTATTATATATTTTACACTAAATTCTCTTATTCCTTCACAGCGAACAATAATTACACTTAGGAGCATGTGTCTTGTTTGAATGGCTATTTCAAGTGACGATTACATCATTTTTTTCAAAGATATTAGTGATAGTATACATTCTTATATTGCCAAACATCGATATATTTGCATCAATTACTTTGCCTGATAAATATACATTGAATAGTGAAATAGAAGCTGGAACGATTAACAAAAATAGAATGTACAGGCCAGATACACGTTGTGGACGAAAATATATCATAAGTGACAAATAAAATAACGTGAGAAAACAGTGAATGTGATTTAAGGATCAAACTTGGTAGATGTTCAGAATATCTGGATAAATCACAATGCGAGCATGTCGCCACGTACAACTCATTATACATGCAAATACATTAACACGTCTTCGACTAGCTTAACAAGGTTACAAAATGCTGAATACTTTAATCACTAAAATTCTTTTAATATTTTTTCTTGGCATTTGCGATAACCAGAACAATTATCCTAATGGCTTCATAATATATATCGAATAATATATAGCAGGCATGGAAGCTTAATCTTCACCGGAGTAAATATCCGCATTGCCTAGTCTATCTATTTCGTTTATGCGTAATGCTCTGATTCTAAAACGCATGCGCAGTTGTCACTGTCATTGGGGAAAACTATATGTGCAACGGTCTGACATATTGATTTTTTTGTCGCTGTATTTTGTTTCGCTTGATTGAAAACGGATGTTGATAATGTTTTATTATGCTCAATTTAATGACCGTTTACGACGTTAAACTTTTAGGGTGTTGAGAGTTATCGGAATGTCACATCCACTGAACGACACAATAAAGCCGAAGCCCCGACCTGTCAGTTTCGTGTTTGTTATAAAGGGTCGATAATCGCAATATTGAATACAATAAGAATTAAAATCTAGTGCATAATATATTCATTTATGAGAATGCTAATTATTAAACCATATACAAAGAATTAATCCCAGTAATCCAGTTACAGCACTGTATGTAACAGTGGTTGCAGTATCTGAAAACAAACAAATACATACATGATTAAAACAAATTCACGTTTATTTATATGTTATATTTCCAAAATAAAATAAGCCAATAACGTATGGCAAAAAATCGTGTATAATAAGCCGTTTGATTGATTTCAGTAGGTTTGACTTTATTTTGATTGTAACTTGAGGTAATTGCGGATTTTTTCGGTGTTTGAGGTTAGGAATACATTTTATGTATGGGCGCGCGACCAATGACGTAGTTTGGCTGTGCCTTAGATTTATTTATACTAAGATTTAGTTAAGATATATAAATCATAAAGAACTAATAGTCGAGTTTCGAGTTTTACGGGCGTGTTCCATGGTTACCACATCGAGATTGCAATCGCGACGAAGATGGAGGGGGGGGGGGAATGTACAACCGATCGTGAGCCTGTTTACCTCAGTTTAATTTCACATGCTTGTATATTGCCCCGGAAATATTTTACAAATTAACGTACGAATACGAAAATGGCAAAAATAATATTTTAACACGTTTTTTTTTTTTTATTTTATGAAAGTTTTGTTGAACTTTCAAAGGTTGGATGTCGAGAATTCTGAAACTTATGCGGCTTAGTACTGAGCTTGAATAGTAAATTAAACAGCCTAGAATAAGCATAACCATTTACCTGTCGAACACGTGATTGGCGTACATTTTACATTAGGCAATGGATCAAAAGCATCAAAGTACCAATCAGCCGTAGCTTCTCGAGCAAGACTCACGCAGAAATGCGACAAGCCGCCACACCGACTTTCGGCTGGTATAGTAAATTCCAGGTCAGTAAATGTATATACGGTCTCAGTATTGCCACTTTGAGTAACGCTCTCAGATACTTCCGGTGTTGCCACCTGAACCTCGTCTGTCGCTCCGCTACCAGTTGAGGAAGTTGCCAGAAAACCGTTCACTAACCATTCGTCGGAATTTGATGAGGTGGCACTGCTCATGACAGTTACTTCAAAACTAAGGATAACATCGAAATCGTTTCCCGCTACCATATCTTCCGATGACCTGATATCGAGTCCGTCGATTGTAAACCTCAATAATGGCTGAGCTATAACAAAAACAAAAAAGAACTCTGTTTTTTTAGAAAAGTCGAATATCTAATGTATATTTTTAATTTTTATACACACGCAATTAATTGGCGAAGATAGATATGTTTGAAAGTACATCGACCAAACATCGATCAATATTGAAATAAAGGGCAGAATAAAAGAACATATTCAGAGTAGACTAGTTTCTTGAGTATACGATTCAGATAAGTAACAGCATAATACATTAACGAGGAATGTAGTGCACCATAACATCCGCCCGGCCATCCCACAAACATAGGTCAATATTTTGAAAGACACATATATTTAACACATATTGATTAGTTCCGCTGTTGAACTACCGTATTTGACAAATGCGCGTCGAACGCCACTTACATTGGCATGAGGTGAGTGGAACACAGTCTTCAGTCGTACTGCCTTCCGAAATTGCCCAGCTTGGGGTAGCTGTGTGTTTAGCGATTACGTCAACACATATATGTGTAAAGTAGGTTACATTCGATCGCTGGCAATAGATCTTGTTCTTGAAGTTCATCGAGACCATGACGTTGTTCAGTAAAGCAGGGGTGCCGGTTGAAAATCCCACCGTGTTGTCAGCAATAATCGCAGTCTTCTTTCTACTCGGGAAAGGCTGTAAACCAGACTCACTAGACGCTAAAAACACTTTCACCACGTACAGGTCGCTGCCACTTACATCATCTCCATTGATTTTTGTAATAGTGACATCTAGATGAAATGTCTTGGTTGTGCCCATCGTGAGTGCCAAGTTTCCAGCAGAGTTACCCGCTACAGTTACACCTATAGTACTGGAAGCTGAATGAAGAAGCGGAAACCTAGGATTTGATTGCGCAATCGACACTTTGGAAGACAAAATGACTAGTGTTTTAGTAAATCTGTCATTTCTAGATATTATATCCTAAATTTATAAATTGTGACATGACACCAGTCTGCATATATATATATATATATATATATATATATATATATATATATATATATATACATTAATAATAATTTACTCACAGACACACGGAGCTATTCTCACACATCCAACCATTGGCCCAGTTGTACCGTGCCAGGACCAATCAGGAGACGCCGGCGTTACGTCAACACAAGTATAACTAAAATCAGCACATGCCCTAAACCTGAGGTCCAAATCCGCTTCCACGTCCTCGATGGTGCGCCGACTGGCATCAGCTAAAGTCAAACTCTCATGCGGCACTCGAGCTTCTACTTTAGGCGAATTACCCGTACCGTCATCGTTCGCCGCCAGATACATGTGCATTTGAAACAGAGTATTAGCTCGACCACTAAGTAACCCAGTTAAAGTAGACGCTGTTGATATTGTGACATCAACTACAAGAGTTGCAATAGAGCCCATTGCAATGCTAATGTGGCTGCTACCATCACTTGCAGACACTATCATTTCATCTAGGTTCATTAACGCTGAAAAATTGACAGGTATAGATTAATTAACGTTATCTCATCGTCTTTTTTTCAAAATCTATGTGGTTAATTACCCGTTATGCTATTTCACGTGACGATCTGGTATAATAATTAATAATTTCATGTCGTTTACCGTTACATACTCCTAAAATTGATCAAA